TCTGTAGCCCAGGCTGGCCTCGAACTCACAGAGATCCACCTGCCTCTGCCTCCTGAGTGCTGGGATTAAAGGTGTGTGCCACCACCACCCAGCAGGAGAGAATAATTTGACAGCGAGAAGGCACGTGGAGCAGAGGGCACGTCTCTGTCAGGTGGGATTTTCAGGTGAAGAGAGTTTAGCAGAGGTGTCCGTTGTGAATGGGAACACACAATAAAGTAAATGGTCTAAGAGAATAGTCAACATGCATTTGTGTCTCACTGATTTCTGAAAACTTGTTCTCCTGTCATAAGAGTGCAGGCAGCTTCTTTGACCTCTTGTGGCCTCAGTATCCTCCTCATGATAGGGGAGTCTGCTTCTGAAGGTTATCTGGCTACAGTCTATTGAATGGCCTCCCACCAGTTTTCTCTAAGTGCTCCGTCAGTTGCTATGATTTCTAACAATTATACTGAAGGCTTCCAAGCTTGCTCATAGCCAGTTTAGCAATGACATCAGCCCCCAAACACAAAACAGCTGCACGTTCGGAAAGAGTCCGTGTAAGACCTGTATCTGTTACTTCAAGAGGCTTAACCTGATAGCCCAGATCACATTCTTTAAAGGGTTATCAAATAGCGGTTGTCTACCCAAAAAAGTCTCCTCTAACGAGCAGGCTTTGTATAGAAATCGTAGTCCATAACAACTCTTGTAGATTTAATGATTCTGAAGTGCCTTCTAGCTCTCGGGAATAAGCTTAAGTCAGGACTTAGAAAGACAGGACTCAGTGTAGCACACCACAGCAATTTCAGGCTATTCATCCTTCACAATATCTAAACTAAGACAAATGAGACCTGCATCGCCACTTAAAAGTGACTAAACCAGGCCTCCGCCTATAAACAGGAAATGCTGAACTTAGCTCTCAGCACTCAACTGTAAATAAATAACCAGCCTGTAAGAACTTCACCCTGACGCAAAGCCTTTCTTCTGAGAATGCACTTTAAAGCTCAGACGGGGTCAAGCTGTCTCCATGAATAAAAGAACAGAAGGAACTCAGAATTTACATCATTATGCATTTTCTTATGTTTCTCTTTTTATCCTGGGTGAGCCCTCCGCTGCACCCTGACTTGTAGCTCGGTTCTGTTTCTCACTGAAGTTTCAAACCTGGTTTCAAGTTACTTGTCGACAGGCTGGAATGAAGTCGGTGGGTTAGCTGAAATGAAAGCCTCCGCCTTTCTTACCGCTCTTCTCGGGCACCCGCTAATTATTTATGTTCAAGCTCACCAACACTGTGTCTTAGTGTAGGAGGCAGCGTACTCAATGCCAGCTAGCTAGAAACAAACAGAACCTGGCCTTTAAGTATCTTGACTGCACAGAGCACTGAAAGAAGATAAAGAAGGGAAAAGAAAAGGGGGGGGGGGGCGTAGAATTTTAGAAAGAGGACAGAAAAGCACCATGAAGCGCTCATGTAGCTGAAGCACACACAGTAGCTGCTGTGTTGCCAGAGCCTTCTTCCACCAAGATGAGCTAAATGGGTTCTTGTTAGCCTGACCACCTCATCATCAGAACTTCACGAGGAAGCTATCAGCGGTCTCTTGCATAAGGCTGACAAACTGCCAATCAAAAAAATAGGAGTGGGGACTGTTTGCTATGACCGAAGCGTGCATACGGATGCCAGAATGGGGAGTCTGATTCCACAGCCCAGATGCTTATTTTCTGCATTCGATGAAACGTGTTTCGTTAGTTTGGGATTTGGGAGGGTCAGAGATATTCATGACAAGAGGTGATGCTTCCAAGGCACACCAGGAATGGCTATGAACCACCCACAACGTCTAAGCACCTGAAATGTCAGGGAGTCGCCATCATGCAAGAGACTTCAGAAAAGTAGGCTAGAGGAAGAGATAAGGCTCCAGGGAATGTGCCCCGTCCCAGAGTCTTACCTGCTGCACTTCGCTCTCTCCATTGGAGATTTTCTCTGTGTAAACCAAGGAGTTGAAGATCCGCTGCAGCAAGAAAGAAAATGGACATTAGATTTTTCTATATGTGTGTGAATAATTTGTTGCATACAACACAAATAGATTCAAATAGGAAAAAGTTTAATTACAATACAGTGATTTTTTACAGAGAGTAACCTAAATATCCACCAAAGTCAGTCACACTTATTTATTTAAGCATTACCCAGGCACTATAGTGAAATAAACCAGATGTTACACTATATTTTTCATTTTCAAAAATACATTTAATTACAGATTTCCGGAGCCCATGCCATTTTATCCAGCTGCCGTAATCTGGCAAAGTTGTGTTTCTCATTTAAATCCTGCACTCCCTGAATGCTGTAATTGTTTACAGGCCCTAACATCTAATGTAATAAAACTCTTTGAAAAGAATTCTTTCCACATTCTCTCATGTCCCTATCCAGCCAGTACCTACCCCATATTATCTATCACCTTCATTATTCAAGCACCCCCCTCAGGAGAGGAACAAAGACACTTGCCAAATACGTGTGGCCTCAAGAGCAGATTCCCGCCCAGGCTGTGGCACATTGGCACACAAATTCTCTGCGGGGTCCTGCCTAGCCTACCTCACACCCACTCTTTCACACACCACCTTAAGTTAAAATAGCTCTGTAGGTTTGAGACTCGACTGGCATCTGTAACAAACTAGAAGTTGAAAAGTCCAGGCTGTGTACATAGTAAGGGGGTGGGATTAGGGCAGCGCCCTTCTCGTTTGTCTTAAGAGCTTTAAAGGTGCCAAGGAACTCTCTAGATGAATCAGGAGTCAGACCTGAAGGTGTCAGCCAAATTTTTGTTTCTCCTCTCTACCCCGCTGCCAGCCAAGCATTTGTCGGCATCTGGGAAAGCATCCCAGACAGCCCAACACACCTGTGTGGCTGTGGCGAGAGAAGGCATGTGCCAAGTTCATCAAGCCCCGGTGCAACCTAGACAGAACGCAAAGGAAGGAAGGGCCCATGGCTGGGGTGTGGCCGGGGGTAGGCGGGAGCGGAGGGTGGAAGCGCACAGAAGGACAGCGATGGAATTATAGCTTGGAAAAGTATAATTATAAATCATCACGATACCACCCATCACACCCCATGTGCCACACTCATTCATTCAGCAGATGCCGCCCCATCAAAATAACCCTGCAAGAGGAAAGCTTTCTTTTAAAACTTCTGAATTATGTTTGTTTTGTTTATTTATTCTTCCCTCCTGTGTGTGTGTGTGTGCATGTGTGTGTAGAACTTTTGAGAGTTAGTGCTCTCCTTCTACCATGTAGGTCCCAGAGATGAAACTTGGGTCTCTGGGCTTGTCAGTAAGCAGCATTACACACTGAGTCATCTTATCAGCCAAGGGATGTTTCCATGGCTTCTTGCAGGGCTCACAATAACAACTGGTTAAGATTTATGGAACGCTTACTATAAGATAAAGATCTGAGCATGTGCTGTATGCTAATATTCCTATTTTTGATGTGTTTGTTTGGTTGTTGTTTATTTCTTAAGACAGGGTTTCACTGTATGTACCAAACCACATTGGCCAGGCTGGCCTTGACCTCTGCCTTGAATTCTCTTGCCTCAGCCTCTCTAGTACCCTTCTCAATCCAGCTTAAATTGATTTTACAAAAGTACCTTCATGATAGACAGTTTAATTGAAATTTTTTCTTTTTATTTAAGTGCATGTATGTGTGCCTGTGGGAAGGCATGTGGACCTGAGTGCAGGGGTTCATGGAGCCCAGGTGTTGGGTCCCCTGGCTCTGGAGTGGTTGTGAGGCACCTGACTTGGGTGCTAGGAAAGGAACTCATGTCTTCTGTAGGAGTGGGACCCCAGCACTCTTAACTGCTGAGCCATCTCTCCAGCCCTGACGGACACTATTATTATCCTAATACATAGATACAGAAACCTAGTGCAATGCACTCATGGAATTTCGTGTCTCTATATTTTTAAAGGACTACACTTATAAAGATGAAAAGCCAAGAGCTTAGGAGGGTTAAAAAGTTGATCAAAAATCATTCAGGACAAGGCTGGAATTTGAAGCCAGGCCTGTGGTTCCAGAGCTGACATTCCTCACCCTATGTCTCATTAGAATTTGTTAGCTGGTTAAGTTTTGCATAACAAATTTGTTACCAAGACATATCATGCCTGGAACTTAACTGGTAGCAAGTCCCAGCTAGAACTTACTAATCCATTAATCAGTCATTTCTTGTACCTATCAATTTTGCCCCAGATTCACTGGGGGTTATTTTATAACCAAGGGTCATCACCATTCTGAATCCTAAAACACATCTCATTTTTTGAAAGGAAAATATGGGTCTGGGAGTGTGGCCTAATAACACTGTACCTGCCTACTATGACCCCCTAGATTCCATCTCAAGTGCCCCTTGGAAAGAAAAGGGGACAGGTGTGTGTGTGTGTGTGTGTGTGTGTGTGTGTGTGTGTGTGTGTGTGTGTGTGTGTTTATAGGGGTTCAGGCAGAAGGAAATTATATAGCTGAAGAGTTTTCTCTCCGGGTCCTAACAAACCCCGGCAGTCCAACAGCCCACTTATAAAATAAACACACAGACACTTATATTATTTAAACTGTTTGGCCTAATGGCTCAGGCTTCTAGCTATCTAGTTCTTACATCTTAAATTAATCCATTTCTATAAATCTATACCTTGCCACGTGGCTCATGGCTTACTGGCAGCTTCACATGCTGCTTGTCATGGCAGTGGCTGCCAGTGTCTCCCTCCGCCTTCCTGTTCTCTCAATTCTCCTCTCTGTTAGTCCTGCCTATACTTCCTGCCTGGCTACTGGCCAATCAGTGTTTTATTTATTGACCAATCAGAGCAACACATTTGACATACAGACCATCCCACAGCAAAATTACAAGTCTACAAGCCTCATTTCTAAATTAGCCCACAGCCCTAAATTCCTAGTTCTCCAGAGCCTAGGCCAACATCATCACTCGCCATAATCCCAGATTATATTCCAGACTATTCTATCATTTCCTTTTCAAAAAGATGCTCAGTTCATTTTCATTAAAAAATGAACTTAACTGATGCAGCGATTCCAGGTCTTGGCAAATGTACTGACTGCCTTCCTCTTAGAGCAGGGGTTCTCCAGTGCGAGACTCCCAGGAAGCCAACCGGACTGTGCTCAAACCAACACTCACCAATGGCCAAACGTGCCGTTCCCTTGTGTCCTTAAGAGGAAGGAGCATTACTCAATAGTTCTAAGGGTGCGTGTCAAGACTAGTGCACCAAGTTTTTTCAATCTCTATCATGTTTGAGATCTTAACAGCAATAGGGCTAATATTTTTATAGAGTCCTTTCCTATACTGTCTATACCTAATTAATTTAGGTTGATAAGACAAAGATTTTAAATGAACAAGTCCTAGATATGTGCCATAGTGATTAGTGGGCTCTATATTACAACCCTCTAGCCATCCCAGCGTTGACGTGACAGGGCTGTCACCAACGCAGATGGTCTTTGCCCTGCATCCTTCCCCTGGTACCAATGCTGTACAACTGGTACAAGGTTTAAAAGTTGGCTTATGTGTGTGCATAAACATCACATGAGACACCGTAATTTCTACCATGCTCTAAAAAAGCTGTTCAGCTCCCCAAAGCTTAGAATTTTTGTAGTTTACAATTTCACATCAATTACCGCACTTAATCTTTATAATTGCCTGTGTAGGCAGAGCAGGTATCTGAAACCACATTTTACAGGTTTGAAAACTATAGCAGAGTTAGGAGCTATGTCCCAGGTGGAAAACCGAAGTGCTGAGGCCTGAACCTAGATCTTAAATTAAGTACAGGCAGTGCTTTTAGCAGACCTAGCAAACAAACTTATCCGTATCACCTTGCTGTTCAGGATGGTCTAGGAATCCTACGTAGAATGTAGGCATGGGGCAGGGGGCACAACACACAATGACTGAGAGTTGAGCTTTCCCTGATTTATTTTAAACAAGGTGTAAAATTTTAGAAACAACCAATGCCCCAGACGGTTTCATTTTTTGTACTTTGTGCTGCATGTAAAATTGCAGAAGAAACAAAATACAACTTTGCTTTTGGGGAGCGAGGCAGGGGGAGTGAGGAGTGGTGGTACCTGGGTCATGTGATAAAAGACAGGAATTCAAAATTATGGAACCTGGCTGACATTTTGGTGACCTTAAGGTAAATGTTTCTTGGTTATTAGAGGACTTGAAAAATGGAAGTTTCTCCTGAGAACACAAAACTGATGAGTATTCTTTTTTTTTTAAATATTTTATTATTATTCATTTATGTGAACATGTGTGTTTGTTCCTATATGTGCATGTATCGAAGATTAGGGCCATCCCCTGAATCTGGAGTTACAGGCAGTTGTAAGCTGCCTGATGTGGGTGCTGGGAATTGAACTCGGGTCCACTGCAAGAACAATACATGTTCTTAACCACTGAGCCATCTCTCCAGCCCCGAGTATTCTTGACAGGTCAGAACCTTCATCCTGTCCTTGAATGAGGTATTCACAGTAACGAATTGGGGGCTGGGGACTAGGGGGTAAGGCCACCATTCTGCTTTGTCCTCTAAACTGTCACTTTCCCTTAACCTAACTTCCTGGAGAACCAAAAGAATTCCTGAATTTGAACTCTTTTTTTTGTTTGTTTGTTTATTTTTCAAGACAGGGTTTCCCTGTGTAGCTCTGGTTATCCTTGAACTTGCTCTGTAGACCAGGCTGGCCTTGAACTCAGAGATCCACCTGCCTCTGCCTTCCCCATGCACCACAATGCCTGACTCATAAACTCTTCATTTGAACACCACCCAAGGGAGCAAAAATTCTCCTCTGATTGCAAAGCCCCAGAAGTGAAGTCCAAAGACATCACCCTATCTCTCATTACTCTTTCCTGTTCTAAAAAGTTCTTGAATACTAAAAGCAAAACTATTCTTTAATAGGTATGGAGACGTAAAGTTATTTTTAAATAAAAATGTCACTAAATCCTTGTTACTAAGTTTATTTCTATAATAAAGAAAACAATAAAATGTCTTATTCT